AGAACCCCACGCTCTGATTTGGCTGCCTGTTGTCTCCATGCTCTAGCCAGCGCTCTCAGAAAGATTACCTGAAGGAGGTTGTTCCTTTCTTAGAGACTAGTGTGCTCACCTAATAGTTATTTTTTTTAAAGATTTATTTATTTATGCATACAAGAGCTGGGGTACAGGCCAGAGATGCAGCAGGTGAGAGGATTCACCAGAGACAGAGTGGGGAACAGAACAGGCAGATTGAACAGAACAGTGAAAACACTGCTGAGGGGAGCAGCGGGCAAGCCAGGAGAGGTCTGCCTGGGTAGCTGGGGATCGAACTCATGCTGCAGAGGCTGCGGATTGCTTCATAGTGTGGTGCTTAACCCCTTGTGCCACCAGGGAGGCCCCTAATAGTTACTGAACCCTTAAATCTGAGCCTGACCCTGGGATCTGAAGGTGAACTGAGATCCAATCTGCTCCAAGCTCACTCCTCATGAAGGAAGCAAACACATCGACCAGTCAGTCAATGCCTTTGAGTTTGACAAAAGGCGTGAGTTAGGAGGGCAGGAGGGGGAAAGATCGGCCTACCCTTGAAGGTGGAGAAGGAGGGCATCAGGAGAGAAGGTGTGGCTTATTGCACAGGTAATACTTGCCCAGTCCTGCAAAGTGCGTCTGGGGTTCTCAGTAAGGACAACTACATGTGCAGATGAACAGAAATGTCATCAGCCAGACAGGTGTGTGTGTCTGGGGGAGGGGGTTGGGAGGTGTCGGAACACAGGTAGTGCCGTGTGCCGGGAGCACAGTGTACACTGTCAGCGGGCAGCCCAGACAGTGCAGAGGCGCCAGCAAGGAGACCAGGTGATGGGTGTGAGATTGCCGAGCACTGGGAGCTTGAATACACAGTGCCTCCTGGTCCCCAAGATGTGGCCCTCAAAACAAACATGATCCAATGCATTTGGGAGGTGCTGAGTGACAGCTAAGGGGGTTTCTTTACTGTCGAACTCCCCATAGCTTAATACCCATCGCATTAGGGTGCTCCCAAGGCGGAAAGTGTAAAATACAGTGTGTACTGAATTCCTTTTTGCAGGCTTTCCACAAAAGCCTCAGTTTGGGAAATTCTGCTCTATACAGTGAAAGGTCACGGGAGGATCTGGAGCCATTAACGATATCAGTTTTTTATTTAGAAATGCAGTTTGGGAAATGAGGAGTGAGGGAGGGATGGGGGGTACCATGAGAAACAGGAGACCTCTTGGAAGCCTATGACAGTCGTGCAGGGCGGAGGGGGTGCGGCATGGACCCCCCATGAGTGTGAGGGCATGGGAAGGCTCAGGGGATTCTAGAAGCGGTGGAAGGTCGAACAACAGGTGATGTCTCAGCGGCCACGGGAGGTGAGGTTCTGACCTCCAGGAGGGGCCGCGCTGGGGGCAGAAGAATCAGGCTTGGCCCATGATGCACTGAAGTCTCGCAGGACTAGCTCATCCGGGCTGGGAGTCCAAGAGGGACAGGGCTGCAGGCAGATCCCCTGGGAATGTCGGTGTTGAAGAAGGGACAGGAAAGAGAAGTTGGGAGGAAGGAGGAGAAGCGGGAGGGGTGGCCGTGCGTGGAAACCACGGAGGAGAGTGTTTCAGGAAGAGCAGTTAGTAGTCCCGCTCTGTGCGTGACACCAGCAGAGAGAGGTTTGCACACATCAAATTGGCAGAGACTTATTTAACAATAGTGATTAGTGTTGGCAAGGGTGAAAGAAAAGGGGTACCTGGTATTATTTGGGCAACAGATTACATGTAGCAAAAACCTTTACAACTGTGTATGCTCTTTGATCCAAATATTCCGTCTCTAGAAATTTATCCCACCACAAATTCACAGTTGATGGTTTGAATGTCATTGCGTAGAATACTAAAAAGTGAACATGTTATTCAATAACATGGGCTGGGTAAGACACATTATGATTGCCATATGATGAAAAAATACCATGAAGCCAGTAAAAAATATATAATTGAAATAATTAATGGCATGGTGAAATATTGCAATATATTCTGAAGTCAGTTAAACAAGTCTGATCCTGTTTCTTTTATTAAAAATATAAATGTGTAGAAGAAAAAGATATACCAAATATTACCAGTGGTTATTTCTGAAATACTATGGGTTTGGATGATTTGTGTCTGTTTTTATTTTTCTATGTTTTCAAAAGTTTCTACAAAAAAACAAAAGTTTCTACAAAAAACAAGGAAAAATAGTGTATTGATTACTGTAAAGTTTTAAAATAATAACAACAGCAGCCCACAGGTATCAAGTGTTTACTATATGTAAATCACTGTGCTAAGTCCTGTTTATATGCTCCCATTTAATCCCCGTCTCTGTTGCACAATCCTGAACCCCATGTAGAGATGACAATGGCCTGGAGTAATGTGCCAAGGTGGCTGGAAATCCCTGGCTTGATATTTCTTTCTCCAGGAAACCCCCATCTCAGTTCCCTCCAGTTCTGTACCTCTAGGGTTTCACTCACATTTCTCCAGCCCAACTTCCTCTGCCCCCCCAGGCACTTTCAGGCCCCTTTGTTCAAGCTCGGCTGTCATTCTGCCTTTGGAAGTGATCATGCTCTCCCCCTGCCGACCCCGTCGGAGTGGGGGCTGCTCAGCACCAGGTGGGCTTCATCTCTGGCTGGGGACACACACAGAGCAGCCCACGGTGGCGTAGGGCTTACTGAAAGAACACAGCTTTCTCCACCCGTCCTAATTTGAGATACATGATTTCTATTATGGTAAGAACCATCCAGCACTGGGCTGCTTACAGTCCCGTGGGGGCCCAGCATGTCCCACACCCAACCTGAGAATTACAGGCTAGATGTGGGGCCCTTAGTGACATGGTAGGGACTCAACAAGGATTGCGGGTGTCCAGGGGCACAGAGAACCTTCTGGGTAGGGGGTAGGAGCTTCAGACACTCATGGGACACACACGTGATGGTCCCAATCTCTGCATAGATCACCAGGCCCCGTGGGTTCAGCCTCCTAGCAGCTGTCTCTGCCCTCCAGACCATCACTATTGGAGGATCATTGTCATCGCCCACCCATTACTGTACCTGCCTCCAGCTGCAGGTCCTGACTCTAGTCTCCCTCCCACCAATGCATATTTCCCTCCACAGCCAGGTTCTGGTCTTGCCTCAGCACCTTCACTAGCTAAGTTGGCAGAATCTTTATCTGGGCTGATAAGCAGTGTGGAAATTTACCTGTTGGGTAAGACTAAGCTTGTGGTTAAGGCACCAGCAAATGATTGTAAGAATTTATTTTGTATTTTTCAAAAGTTAAGTGATTATGGGAAATGCGAACTTTATTGGACATCATACATTCATTCTGAAGTTTAATCTTGAATCCACACTGGAACACCATAATTACCTGTTGTCCAGAGCCCTCGTCTAAGTCACCATGATGGTGATATATCTTCCTTGCAAAGCCCTTTGTGGTCCATTCCTTGGTAGCTGGCTCCTGCCTCATCATTGTGATTTGTAGGTGGACTCTCCAGATGCCACTGACCAGCTCACCTGCAAGAGCCCAGGACCTGTTCCAGGCCAGCTTCACTGTCATGTGACCTGGGAGAAGTTATTAAGCCCTGTTGTGTGGCTCAGTCTCCTTACCTGTTAAAGGGGAGTAGGGTGCTAAATAATATTTAGCCCTTAACAATTCACGACCATTAAAGAATTGATACAGAACACACAGAGAACATGCCCTGCACACGGCAAGTGCAAATTGTCACCTGTCCTTATTAATGTCCCCAATTCTCAGGCCCTCGACACATGCTCTTTCCTCTGCCAGGAACACGCCCACTGACCTTTCCTGTCCTCCCAGTCCAATTCCTCTCAGCCTTCCAGCCCAGTCTGGTTGTCACTTCCTGCGAGTGCAGCGTCTTAATCATAAATGAATAAAGGCAGTCAGAGATTGTCTAGGAAGGGCAGAGAGTGAGAAAGGGGCTGAGTCAATCAGGAGTTCCCAGGAAGAGCTCCGCTGAGGGATGTGATGAGATGCAGGTGGTTCCTTGGGTGAGGCAAGGCCCCAGGGCTCCTTGATGCTGCTGAAGGCCTGTGCATTTCTTCCAAGGAGCTGGATCAGTGCCTGGGCCCGCAGTGTTAACTGCGAGGGCCCCTGAAGCAGCTGGATCACTTGGGTGAGCGCTACTGAGCAGCGACAGCACTGCACACACGGGACAGAGGGGAAGGTTTCGGGACAGCAGCAAACACCTGCAGTGGCAGGGAACCTGGGCCTGGGAGAGGAATGTGTCTCAGTCTCCAGGCACATTTGGCGCCCTCGGAGCCCTTCTAGGTTTTTGGAGACACTCCACGCACCAAGGCGCGGCATCTTGGTGGGAGCCGAGACTCCAGATCCCTGCCCAGCTAGGGCGCTCAAGGATTCATCTCACGAGCGCGCAGGTTCTTGCTTTCCTCATAAAATGCCAATACCCTGGGGTCCTCAGGCCCCCCACACTGCGCGGCCAGTGCCTGGAAGGGGAGACCGAGACAACCCTGCCGACCCAGACCGCGGTCCTCTCCCCGATCCTTCCACCAGGCGGTCGAGCGGCAGGGTTGAGGCCACCTCTGGCGGGGCGTCGGTTCTCGGCCTAGGCCCCGCCCCTGCGCCCCGTGGGTCGGGCCGGAGGGGGCGGAACCCGACGGCGGGCGCGGGCCCGAAGGGCGGCGGACAGCGGCCACCGACGGCCAGTCCAGCGGGGCCGCACTTGTGCGTCCGCTCCTCCGCGAGGGCAGCGGGAGCTTCCCCGCGCCCCGGCCGCGCGGCCGCCCTCTCGGCGGGACAGACAGACCCGCCCGGGGCGCCGGCCCCGAGGGCAGCTCCGCCCGCGTCCGCCCGGCCCGGAGCCGCGACAGGTGCGGAGCCGCGACCCCAGGACCGCGCTGCGCCCGCGGCAGCCGCCCGTCGCGTCCCCCCGCCGGGCCCGGACCGCCGGCCGCCGTCGGGGCGTCGCGGCCCCCGCCCCGCCGCGGAGCGGATGCGCGCGGGGCAGCGCCCGGCCCGGTCCCGCCCGCCATGGCCGCGCGCCCCGGCCCGCTCTGGCTGCTGGGCCTGGCGCTGTGCGCGCTGAGCGGCGGCGGCCCCGGCCCGCGCCCCCCGCCCGGGTGTCCGCCCCGGCGCCTGGGCGCGCGCGAGCGCCGCGACATGCAGCGCGAGATCCTGGCGGTGCTCGGGCTGCCCGGGCGGCCCCGGCCCCGCGCGCCCCCCGCCGCCGCCCGGCTGCCCGCGTCCGCGCCGCTCTTCATGCTGGACCTGTACCACGCCATGGCCGGCGGCGACGGCGAGGACGGCGGCCCCCTCGAGCGCCGCCTGGGCCGCGCCGACCTGGTCATGAGCTTCGTCAACATGGGTGAGTCCCGCGCGGCCGTCGAGCCCCGGGGGGCCGGGCGACCCCCGCGCCGTCCCGCGCCCCTCGCGCGCCTGGGGCCCCGCCAGCCCCTGGCACCCCCTGGGAGGGGGACCCGCCGCCGGGAGCGGGACCCAACGGGTCAGGGCGCCGAGGTCTGAGGATTTGGGGGGCTGGGCTGTGGATGAGCAAGGCCAAGGCAGGAAGGTGGGTCCGGGGGCGCATACCTGCGCCCCGCCCCACGCGCACCCCAGGGTGAGCATCCCGTGATGTGGGGTGGGCTGGGCAGCGGGGAGCCGGCCGGGCCTGGGGAGAGGCCAGTACTCAGCGGCCTGGAGCTGTGGCTGCGACAAGGGCGGCGCCGCGGACAGTGCCAAAGTTCGCGGGATGGAGCCGGCAGGAGAAGCCAGAGGTCCCGAGCCCAGCAGCCGCCTCCCTGCACCGGGGCCTGGGCCTGGAGCCGGCTGGGCCGGGGCGCGGGGGCCTGAAGCCGACTGGGCGCTGCTGGGCGGGCTCTGCTGTCACCTGGGCCGCGCCCGGGCCGTGGCGTGGCATGGAGAGCGTGTCCGGGCCTGTGGCGTGGCTCCGTGGGCAGCGTGGACCCTCCTAAATGTTTCCCCAGGCAGAGCCCAGCTTTTCCTCATGGCGGAAATGTTCCTCCAGATCCTGGAGCGATTTCCCCTTCAAGTTCTCAAACTCCGTTATCAAATTCTTTCATCTAGTCATGAATATTTGCTGCCCATGCGCTTTGCCTCCTGTCCGTGGCCAGTGAGGGGCAGGGGCAGGGGTGTGGGCTGGGCGGGCACCATGCACGGGCAGGCCCAGGGGCCCCAGGACTGCAGCCGCTGAGGTGAGGAGAACTGTGGGCTGAGCACGGGAGGCACCTTTGCCAAGGCCACCAGCCGCCCGTCCCGTCCCCTGCGCCATCCCGCTCCGCCCCTAGCAACCCTGGAGGACAGGGGAGGACATCTCCTGGGGGAGGGCAGCAAGGCTCAGAGAGGCAGCGCCACTCCCAGGATAGCTCAGCCTCTACCTGGTCGAGCCAGGAGAGGCCCAGCTTGCTCGGCCCTCCATGCAGTGCTCAGGAGGCGGCATTTCTGCTCCTGGAGGACAGGCTTTCAGGGCGGAGAGAGCTTCAGAGGGTCTGGGCAGAGGAACCCCGGGGACAGAGCAGCCGCGGGTGTTGTGGGGTCCTCAACTGTTAATACTTGCTGCCCACCAATAGGGCAGGAAGATGGAACAGCTGAGGAGTCTTCTGTCCCTCCAACCCAGAGCTGGTGGTGGGCGGGGGTGGGGGAGCCAGCAGCAGGAGCCAGGTCAGTGGTGGGAGCCCAGTGCCACGCACAGGACTTAGATCTGTGGGTTCTGGAGGTTGCCTTCCTGGTTAGAGGACAGGGTGGGGCTGGGGACAGAGGAGACCATATGTGGACTGAGGGCTGGAGCACTGTCCTCAGGACAGGCTGACCCAGGTTCAGGATCACTGGATGCAGAACCCCAGATGTGGTCACTCCAAGGATGCTCCCAGGGGCCCACCCATCAGAAGCAGCCACCTCCTGCTTCCCCCAGTATCCTCTGGGTCGAGACCTGCAGCCCTGGTGGGAGCTGCCACTGTGGATGGAACAGTACCCTTTGCTCAGCTGGTTCCCCCCAGCCTCTGCTGTGCAGCCTTAGGCAGGTCCCTCACCCTCTCTGAACCCCAGGTCCCTCCTTGTCAATGGGGCATCCTCAGTGCTGCTGTGGTGGTTAATGGAGGGAGAGGAGCAGGAAGCCAGCCCCCGTCCTTCTAGGGTGAACCTGGGCCTGGTCACTGCTGACCCCTTCCCTCCCAGCTGCTGCCCAGTCTGGGTGTGGCTGTGGTGGGAAATCCCCACCGCCCTAAATACATGTGAAGGCCAGAAGCAGATTTTAAAAGTCAACCAAAAGGTGTTTCTGCCTATTTTGAGAATGAAACTAGCTTTGAAGCCCACCGTCTTCTAAGTCCTGTTTCATCCATGCAGTAAACCGTGAAGCTGATTTGCCAGCTCCTTTCCATGGGCTCAGAGAGGTTAAACGGCAGCTCGGGGCCCCACAGCACCTCCATGGCACCATCGGGGCCCTGGATTCCAAGTCCCAGCTTCTTCCCACGCTGTCTCTGCGTGTTTCATTAAGACCTAAGGCCTGAGACGCTGTGGGATTAACAAGCAGATCTTTGTTCGTGGAGGCCGGGTCTGTGGGCGGCCCGGCCAGCTGTCAGAGGGCCTTCCTTGTTCTGATGCACTAATTGCCGGACTAGATCTCTCAGTAGACGTAGGTTTAACCGGTGATTACCTCGGCCGTGTGGGGAGGATCAGACACCTCCCAGGATTCTTTCCTTGTTTGGAGGCCAGGCCCCAGGCCCCTGCGTCCCCAGATTCTAATAGCAGCGCGGCTGAAGCAGCGCCCACGCCCCGGCTCCCACACCTGTCGAGTCCAGCTCCACCTCTCCTCTCGGCCTCACCCTGAGATGCCAGGCCCAGTGCCTGCCAGGCCGCTGACCAACCCTGGCATCCTGCGGGACCCAGAGGCCGAGGGCCTCTTGTAGGCCCCCAGCCTCGTCTGAGCAGATGCCTTAGGGAGTCTGTCTTGACTGACAGAGGCTGTGTTGGGGGCCAGGCCCGTGGTCAGAGCCCGTGGCCCTGCCTGACCTGTCTGTCCATCGCAGCCTTGTAGACGCTTGGCTCCCTTGGCCGCCCTCAAGGTAGCAGGTGGCCCCACTTCCATATTGAGGAACCGAGGCACAGGCAGCGCCGCAGACAGGATGAAGCCTCCTGCCCTGCTCCAAACCAGACTAATGCACCCCTGCGGCCTCCGTGGCCAAGGACAGGAGTGTTGGTGAAGGGAGGCGGTCGGGTTGGGGGGCGGCGGGGCTGGGTGGGAGCAGGGACCTGGTCCAGTTCTGCTCAGCCCCGGGCCCTTGAAGTGGTGACGCTTTCCTGCCGTGTGCCCCAACGTCCTGTGTCTCTAGGAGGGAGATCTTTCACTTCCCCCTGAATTCATCCCAGAGACTTGTGTGGTGCCTGCTCTGTGCCAGGCGCAGTCCTGGTTCCTGGGGCATGAGAGCGAATGAAACAAGTCCCTGCCTCTCAGCGCTGACCTCCTGGGAGAGACGCATGATAAACATGGGCCCTGAGGCGGTTGTCAAGGGGCGCAGACTGCGAACCCCCACCTGAGACTAGGAGGGACGGCCATGGGGGCCGGGCCTGGGGTGGGGAATCTGACCCAGGACAGGCAGGATCCACATCCTGACTTGGCTGCCTCCTCTGAGTATCAGCTGGACTTTCCAGTGCAGCTCTGGGAGCCTCAGTTTCCTCCTCCGTAAAACAGAGACATCACGGTACCACCCGTGGGGCTGTTGCGGGAGATCGCACCAGTGATGACCACATGCCTAGAACTTTCTTGTCTGTCCCTCCGTGAGAATCTCACATCAACTGTCATGTCTTGGTTTTGAAAAGAGGAGGGCAGGCTTCAGAGAAGTTAGGCGATTTTCCCACAGCCACACAGCGGTCCTCTCCCTGCTGCCCCTCTTCTGCTCTTCTGCACAGAAGCTGCCTCCGCCCGGCCGGGGCCTGGCCCGCCTCAGGTGCAGTGAGCGCAGGAACAGGGCTGTGGTGAGTGTGTTGTAGAGTGGGGAATCTAACCTTTTTTTTTTTTTTCAAAGATTTATTTATTTATGCATACAAGAGCTGAGGTGCAGGCCAGAGGTGCAGGGGGTGAGAGGATTCACCAGAGACAGAGTGGGGAACAGAACAGGCAAATTGACCGAAGTACACTGCTGAAAAGAGCAGCGGGCAAGACAGGAGAGGGCTGCCGTGCCATGTGCATTTCTCCCTGGCCAGCCAGGATCGAACTCGTGCTGCAGAGGCTGTGGATTGCTTCATAGGTTATGTCTTAACCCCTTGTGCCACCAGGAAGGCCCGGGATCTAACTTTTAAAATGTCTTTGTTTCAGAAATTTATAGAAATAACGCTTGTTCATTTTAAGAAAATGTTATATAAGTTCATTATACACAATTCAGGCTATATCTTTAAGATTTTACTTATTTATTTATGCATACAAGAGCTGGGGTACAGGCCAGAGGTGTGAAAGGTGAGAGGATTCACCAGAGACAGAGTGGGGAGCAGAACAGGCAGACTGAGGGGAGCAGTGGGTGAGTCAGGAGAGGTCTGCTGCACCATGTGGGTAGCTCCCTGGCCGGGGATCAAACTCAGGCCAAAGGACTCACGCTGTAGGGGTGGGCCATTGTGTTGATAGCGTTGAGACTTAATCCGTAGGCCACCAGGAAGGCCCCTTTTCTCCTCTCATAGCAGAGGGCTCTTAGGTGGTTTCCACATCCCAGCTATTGTGAAGGACGTGGCAGTGAACGGGGCAGTGCAGGGGTCTCTTTGGCAGGCCCTCTTCGTTTCCTTTGAGTAGATACCCAGAGGTGGGACTGCTGGAGCCTATGGTAGTTTTATTTTCAACTTTTTGAGGCGCCTCTGTATTGATTTCCACAGTGGCTGCACCAATTTACATTCCCCCAACACTGTACAAGGATTTCCTTTTCTGCACACCCTTGTCTGTGCTTACTATCTCTTGTCTTTTGAAAAATGTCTATTTAGTGCCTCTGGAGTTTTTTTAAGATTTATTTATTCATACATACAAGAACCGGGATACAGGTCAGACATGCGGGAGGGTGAGAGGATTCACCAGAGACAGAGCGGGGAACAGAACAGGCAGACTGACTGAAATACACTGCTGAGGGGAGCAGCAGGCAAGACAGGAGAGGTCTGCTTCACCACGTGGGACCCTTGTCTGCCAGCTGGAATCAAACTTGCACTGCAGAGGCTATGGACAGCTTCGCAGTGCTGCATTCAACCGCCTGCACCACCAGGGGAGGCCCTGGAGTTTTTTAGCTGGATTGTCTGTGTTGTTGAGTTGTGTGAAAGTTCTCTATATATTTTTCATATTAATCCTTTATGTGGTTTGCAGATATTTTCTCCCATTCG